CAATTCGATTGGGTAAGTGTTCTTCACCTAGAATTTAATATGTTCCATGATTTTATCTTTGTTTTTATCATTAAATTTGTGTTTTGAGTTGAGGAAAATAGTAGTTTTTGAAGAAAGTTTTCAAATGAAAAATCATGATTTGAGGGACCAAATGGTATCGAGATTTGATAATTTTTGTATGGTTGAACTCGTATCGGAATGGGTATTTGGTTTTTGTAAAATTTGTCGGGTTTCGAGGTGCGGGCCCGGGGGTCGGCTTTTGGCCGATTTTTTGGATTTTTTTAAAGATTGAGACTTTGTGATCTGGAATAGTTTCTTATGAGTTTTATTTGTGCTTTGAAGTTATTTTGGTTAGATTTGAGCCGTCCGGATGTCATTTCACCCGAGAAGTTCATTTTAGAGTATTGGTTTGTCTTCTTTGAGGTAAGTATCTTGCCTAACCTTTTGTGGGGGATACCCTTAGGATTTGAGTCTTCTATGTTGATTGTAGTTCGTGTACGCGAGGTGACGAGTGCGTGCTCGGACTTATTTGTGGGAAATTGGCCTTTTAGGGTTCTTAGGTCCTTATATTCACTGTATGAAGTTGTTCTTGGTATGACTGAGTTCTTATTTACTGGTTCCACCTCTACTTGCTTAAATTCGAAGTAATTGCTTTAGGATTCGCTCTTATTGCTTATTTGACTCTTAATTGACTTAACTGAATATTTTACCTCTTCTATTGCCATGCTATCCTTCCATAACTGCTTATCTTTATTTGAAATTATCATCATCTCATCTTATAATTGTTTAGTCTGAATTGAGGTTATGATTATCCTTCCATAACTGAATAATTGTTCTATTCCTGTGTAAACATTTGACGTGTTGTCCGTTCTTTTCCTTATGCTTACTAGCTGGTATGAACTATGTTAGGACACTTGCACAAGCATACACGTGGATAAGCACCCTTATCGGATATGATGGTTTTCTTGATATTGTTGAGTATAGGTGCACACCCTTGTTACTTGCCTCCTAAGTGAGAGTGGCTCTATTTGGCACGTGAGTTGTTAGCATGATCATGAGGTGTGATGAGGGCACAGAATGCCAAATGTTAGGGTTCAGGTATTGAGACCTGTGAGTTGTAATTAATTTGAGGTTTGGCACTTCGTAAAGGTTGTTGACTAAAATCAAATGTGAAAGTTGTCGTAGTTGCTAAGTTACTATTTGTCCTTGTTGTATCTGTGGTTTTGAATTTAGGTTGTGTTTCCACTCACTCTTCTGTGTCATTATTATTGTATTCCGATGGTACTTGTCTTTTTCCCCCTTTCTTATTATAATTATTGTATTGTTAGTCATATTGCGTAATTTTCATGTAGAAATCATGCACTGTTGTTCCTATACTTATAGTTGTTCATTTATTAGACCAGTAGGTGTCTTGACTATTCCTCGTCACTACTCTACCGAGGTTAGTCTTGATACTTACTGTGCACCGCTGTGGTGTGCTCATACTATATTTTTGTACCTTTTTGTACAGATCCAGGTAATTGCTCGTTAGTAGCTGTGTGGACCGTTGTTGTGGAGACTCAAGGTAAACCTGCTGCTGCATTTGCAGGCTTCAGAGTCACTTACACTGTTCACTCTTATTTCGAGACAGTTGTAATTTAGAGGTTTTCTATCAACTCTATAGAGCTTATGACTTGTACTACCAGTTTTGAAAAATTGTATATTCTGTAAATATTTCTATATCGAGATTGTTAGATTTTATTTATTATTGTTGATATTCAATAAGTGTTAGGCTTACCTAGTCCCTAAGACTAGGTGCCATCACGATACCAACGGAGCCGAAATTGGGACGTGACATTGATATAATATATGCCAAAGTAAGTTATTTTAATAATTAATATATAAAATAAATAAAAAAAGGAACAAAAATAAAGGATCCAGAAATGTATGCAGAATTAGATTATGAAAAAAAAAGGAAAAAAGTATTTGACATCATAATAAATGAAATTAAGAAAGAAAAAATAAAAGCAAAAGAGAGAAGAGAAAACAGTTATAATGTATAAATTGTTCTAATATTTGAATTAGAAAGAAAAAGGCAAACTATATATTATACTAATTGCATTAAAAAGGGTGAACAAATATTTACTATATCTGTTATCTTTTCTTATAGTATAAAAAAAGAACAATAATTAAAAAAAGCAAAAAAAAAATTAAATAAAATTAGATTATGAAGAGAAAAATTTAAAAAGTAAAAAAAAAAGAATTTAAATGAAATTAGAAAAGGAACAAGAAATAAAAAATAAACAAAGGGAAGAAAATAAAGATGGAGTCAAAATGGAGTGTGAAATCAAATTATGCCAAAATAATAATTATATGATTTGGGAGAAAAATAAATGAACCGCAAAGGTGAAAAAAGAAAAAAAAATAGAAGAAAACGAGAAAAAAGAAAAAGGAGAAAATAAAGACAAGAAGGAAAAAAGAAAAAAAAAAGAGAGGAATAAAAAAGAAAAGGAGAAAATAAAGGCAATTACCCACAAAAGCTACAATGGGCAGGACATGTAATTAATTTGATGGGTAGAAAAGTAAATTGATAAATAAGGATAAATAATTTTATTTTTGTGGATAATTGTGTCATTCAAAGAAGAAGAAAAAAACTTGTTCAGGGTAGATCTATGATGCACAATGTACTAATTTATCATGACCTACTAAGACACTTCAACAGGAAAACATCTCCGAGATGCCTAATGAAGATTGATATTAGGAAAGCCTATGACATGGTGAGTTGGGAATTTTTGGAGTGAGTATTGATAGGTTTTGGGTTCCCTGATTGATTTGTACAATGGATTATGGTATGTGTGACTACCACTATGTTCACAGTAAAGATAAATGATAAGGGCATGGTTATTTTGCAGGAAAGAGAGGATTGAGACAAGGAGATCCAATCTCCCCATTGCTATTTGTTTTAGTTATGGAATACCTCTCTAGAACTTTGAAGATTATCAGCAGGTTACCAGATTTTAGATTCCATCCTATGTGTAAGGAGTTGCAGCTGACCCATCTCATCTTTGCAGATGATCTGATGATTTTTTGTAAAGGGATGAGAAGTCAGTGCAAAGAGTCATGGAAGCTTTAGAGCACTTCAGCAAAGCCTCAGGCTTGATTGCCAATATGGAAAAATCCAGCATGTTTCTAGCTGGGGTAGAAGAAGAAGTCAGGGATATGTAGCTGACAAAAACAGGGTTTGCACTGGGCACATTTCCTATCATGTATCTAGGCTTACCATTATCCCCAAGGAAATGGAATAAGATAGATTGTCATATGCTGGTAAGGAAAATTACACATAGGATAACTGTCACCTATTCCAGACAGTTGTCCTATGCAGGAAGATTACAAATTGTCGATGCAGTGCTTTGCTCTATACATAATTTCTGGCGAGCTGTCTTTATTCTACCCCAAAGTGTGTTAAAAGAGGTTGATAAAATATGTAGAGATTATTTGTGGGGAAAGACTGAGGGTCAAAGAAAGTAGCATTGGTTGCATGGGAGAAAGTCTGATGTCCAAAGAAACTAGGAGGTTTAAATGTGAAAGGCTGTAAAATATGGAACATATCATCAGTAGGAAAGTTATTGTGGCAATTGGTAATGAATAAAGAGTCTCTTTGGGTACGATAAGTTTATGGTGTATATATGAAAGCTGATAGTAATATTTGGACTCATAGTCCTCCTATTGATAGTAGTTGATATTGGAGGAAGCTAAACTCCTTAAAAAGAGAGATGGAAGGATGGTACTCACAAGGCAGATACAGCCTGACTCCACGAGGCAACTACTCTATAACTAAAAGTTATCTTGCTATGATAAACCAGCAGCCACAACTAGAGACAGCAGACTTGGCATGGACTGTTGTGGCTCTACATCGATACAGATTTGTCATGTGGTTGGCAGTTCAAGGGAGACTACTAACCAAGGACATGCTAATAGGGATGCAAATCCCTGTGGAAAATATAAATTGTAGCTTGTGTGAAGCAAAGCAGTTGGAAGGAACATCTATTTGTTGACTGTGACTGGATCAAAGCAGTTAGAGAGGAGATCAACCAGTGGATAGGACAATCAGTGCAGGATGGAGACTTCAAGTTGATGCTGGAAATGATTAAAAGAAAGCATCGGAAGCAGTTTAAGAAAGAGGTGATAGCAACAGTCAATGGAGCAGTGATATACCATACTTGGAGAGCTCGAAATTTAAAAAATTTCAAGGCAAAAATGTACATAGGTGTAGTAACACAAATCAAGAGGGAACAGAGAGAGTAGATCATATGAGGTTATCAAAGAAAACTTATAGGTGTAGGAGTTCTATACAAAGTATACTGTGTAATTAGATTGTGGAGTTGGGCGCCTCGATCTGTAGTCAGATTAAGGTTGCCCAATAAGCGTAATTGTTTTTTATGTTAATGGTAATTTTACACTGTTACAAAAAAAAAAAAAAAAAAAAAAAAAGCTTTCGCTCTTAATGAATTTGGTCTCTCGCTTGCACCTGCTATGAAGCAATCCACGCAGTATGCACCACCAGGATAAAGAATTGGCAAACGTCGCCACTAGTTGGCGTCTGGCCATGACTTCCAAATACTTCTTGACCTTAACTTTTCAAATACTCATTTTTTGGAACTTTAATCAATTATTTCTAAATTTGAATAATTAACCTAAACAGTTAGGCAACCAATCGCTTAAATTAAAAATAGTTAATATATACATAATATATGTATAATATTTATTGTTTTTATATATACTATACGCTAACTGTGTATAACTTATATTGGTTAGAAAAAATAAATAATAAATTCGATTGGCTATTTGTGTAAAAATTCCAATATCCTTGACAGTAGGTTGATTGGACTTCACAAGAGTAATAAAACTGGGCCTAGTCTTAAACCCCAAGCCCCCCAAAAATGGTTTACGAAAGACTTTCAATAACAATAGGCCCATAATCCTTGGGTCTTGCAAAACCCTAGCCTTATTCTTCAAACTTGACGAGTGTCCCGTAGTTATATTAGGAAAAAGAAGACTCCCTCTACATCAGTACGGTGTTATCTCGCCGCTCCGTCGACGCATTTTGCTTCTTCCAAGCAGAGAGCCACCATGGTTGCCGCCAAGAAAACTGTAAGATTCTCTCTCTTTGTATTTCTGGTTAATAATTAAATCAAGAAAATGCAGCCTCTTTTTTTTTTTTTAGGGGGGGGGGGGGGGTTTGTTGATTGTTCTGAAGAGATGTATTTGTGAAAGCAGAAGAAGACTCATGAAAGCATTAACAATAGGCTGGCTCTTGTTATGAAGAGCGGAAAATACACCTTGGGTTATAAGACTGTTCTCAAGACCCTAAGAAACTCCAAAGGTTAGTTTTTAGCTTAGCTCCTATATCCATTTTTGACCTTCTTTCGATTCGTGTACTGTTATTTTGGCTGTTTTTGTTGCACTTTAGTTGTATGTCGAGCTTTGCAGCTGTAGAAACATGCTAATATTTGATTGAAGCAGTGTAAAAAGTTGATCTTTTAGCAGATCATTATGCAAAAATGTAGATTGTCAAACATGGATTTTATTTTACAAGAAATGTAGTCCGGGGTTAGATCCCATGTATTTTAATTTACTGCTGGTGGTAGTTCATAGCTTGCATAGGTTAGAATTGCAACTATGCAGAGTAGATTAGCCTGGTCCGTGCCTTAGGACGATGTGCACAGATCGAGAAATGGTCCAAATTTGTACTAAAACTTGCTTAGGTTAAGAAATTATCAGAAAATGTTCCATGAGTGATTTAACGTTGTGGGCATGGTATGTTGATTGAATAGTGAGAGTTGTGGTGCTGGTTATATATCTGTAAATGACTTTTGTTTTCCGGAGTCATAGAGATTATGGATTTCTGCTGTTATGAAGGAATTGTCTTGACTGTTATGTAACAAGGATTTCTGAAATTTGCTTTGGTAAATTACAGGAAAGCTTATCATCATTGCCAACAACTGCCCTCCACTCAGGAAGTCTGAGATAGAGTACTATGCTATGTTGGCCAAGGTTGGAGTTCACCACTACAATGGAAGTAAGTACATTCTTTGTTTGCATGGTTTTAGATATCTGGACCTTCTTTTTGTGCTGTTGAAATGTTTTTAATTGTAGTTTGCTGTTTTGACTGCGTGAGTGTTAATTAATACTAGGTTACTTTCGTTTTTCCAAAATGTTGAGAATGGTCTATTAAAGTTCTATGTGATGACTGCTTAGTAAAAGAACAGATGCCTCATGATTATATGAGATTCAGAAAGCATAGGTCTTAAGCTTTAGTGATTGCTGGATTGATTTTATGAAAAATAACTAAGCATGAAATCAAGGGTGTACAAAGCAACAAAATATATATTGATACTGGAGAGGTCCATGAAAACCTTTAAAAAAGTTTCCTAAAATATAAGGCTTGGTTAGTGGAGATCTTCATTACTGTTTATTGGCATAGGAATTATCTGCTTGTTTTCTTTGTGGTGGCTCATGCATTCTTCTGTGAGCTCTTGTCCATTTACCCTTAGTCCAGAAAATAAGTGTGTAGTTTCTATTTTGTGTGAATATTAATATGATAACTGCCACAGGGCTTTGTTTCAGTTTAATGTGTGAGTTAGTCCCATATCATGGGTTCGAACCTCTCTGCCACACACAAAGCCTGGTGTGGCAAAGAAAGAATGTCAGGCGTGTACTCTTCTGGAGTTATAGTCTTGCTATAATTCCAAAGAAAATGAGGTTGAACTAACTTTTGGTTGTGGAGCACACCCTTATTGACATTTTGCATATTAAATCTACTTCCTTTCGTGGTTGCTGATTCAAGGTCAGAAGGTAGTTTGTTTCTGCTTTTTGTGAAGGAATAACATCAAGCTCTGAATAGAACATTACATTTTGTCACATTGTCCATTTTAATAATTTGAGTCGATGAATTACTTGCAGTTAATTCGCAGTTCATTCTCTTTTATTCATTACTCATGGTTGTGACTTGTATGCTCATACCAGTCTTCTGTAATTATATGCTCATATCTCTTTACTCTTTCCTGTTTCAGACAATGTAGATTTGGGAACGGCTTGTGGTAAATATTTCAGGGTCTGTTGCCTGAGCATCATTGACCCAGGTGAGACATTCTGTCTCGACTTGCTTTAGTGTTGTTCAAATATACTCACTTAAAAAGAGTTTTTTTCTGATCATAGTATTCTTAATTTTCTTCAAAAACTCAGGTGATTCTGACATTATTAAGAGCATGCCCGATGACAAGTGAGAGGATGCCATTCTGAATCAGGGAAAATTATCCCATTGTTTCTCATGAGAAGAATAGCTAGTGTAGATGATAATTTTACTTTTATTCTGGTGATTTGCAAGATAATTTTGATGATATTGGAATCTTCATGACACCAATTTTCTGTTTAGCGAAGCTACTTTATGGACAATGATTTGTTGTGCCATTGATTACACTTTAGTTCTGTATTAGTTTTTGGAATGTGGAACTCCTAATCTTGCAGTGAACACTCACCAAGTTGAACTACTCTCAGAAGAGCTGAAGAAGATACTGAATGGTAATTATTATGTCATAAATTAATCAAACCCCACTTTGCTTTGCGCTTGAAGATGGAAAAAATGCACTTAGCTCACTCGAAGATGATCTATTTATTTTGAATTTATTAGCTAATAAAAGGTGAGTGTGGGTATATCATATGTTTTATTCATTTTCTGCGGGAAAGTTTGCAAAAACAACCATTTCGTCAAATATTATTTCTCAAAATGAAATGAATGTAAATGCAGTCCTATTATGTTCATGTCATGATTAACTTTAAATTGATGGATTTCTTTTGGGAAGAGGGGAAATCGACCGCCGCTATAACATGTACCACACTCTGTATATAACCTGTACCACACTCTATAGTGAGCACTTTTTGCGCATTGGGTAGACCTTCCCTATGTAATAGACTGCTAGCCACATAGGGTATGTAAACCGTACTAGGCAAACCTGTGCGGTAGGCTCAACCCAGAAGGCATTGAGGGGGGATTCGATCCCAGGTCATTCTTATAAATGACCGCCCTCCAGTGTATTCATAAATTTTTTATCCTTCCAGAGCGTAATCAGCGCAAAATCATTAACTTCATCATTAATTTGCAATGCGCAATTATATTAAATCCATTAAAGATTCTAGTTGTTTAGAATGACGTTATATACGTCCTTTACTTTACTATTTGTTTAAAAGCTTACCTTATGTAATTGTCTTTAGAATTGAGAAACATAAAAGTTAAAATTAATGTACATGATCTGCTATAATTTATTATGGGAAATTACCAGTTATGTCCATTTATAAGTAGCTCATTATAAAAATTGGCCAATTGATAAAATATTACTAATATTAGCCAAATTAGCCAATTAGTTATTTGTAGCAAAAAATATCAAATTTTTGCTTTGTTTTGAGTGAGTGTTATTAGAATAGATTTGGCACAACTTAAGGAGCTTGAATCTCAGTTTTGGGATGATTTGGTAAAGTTTTGAGGTGGTTTGAATTGAAAATTCGAAGTAAAAGCTGAACATGAAAAAAAATGATATGTGTATCACACTGTGTATCATTTGTGTATCACATATGTATCATATTTGTATCAATTGTGTATCACATGTATATCCATGTATACCTGTGTGTGTGATACATGCGTGATACATGTGTCGCAGAAGACTTTTTTGAACTCGATTAATTACGAATTTTGAAACAAAACCAGTCCAAATCACCTCCAATCTTCCTCAAATTTTGTATATTGACTTATCTATATATTTTCAATGAATTTCAACTATACCCATTGAAAAAGTTCCTTTTTTGTTTAGATTTTTGGAATATTGTATAGATTTTTCTATTTCATCACCTTATTTGCTACCCCGTCCATGAAATTTCCTTTCCGTCTTGTATCTAATGTTGCTAATTACGCATAAAAATATGGAAGGTGATTTTTGCATGTGATTCTTTGAAAGAAAAAACCCTATTATTTGGTTTTTCAATTTTTGTTGGCTAGTTTTGGTAAGTCTATGACTAATGGCTAGAGGTTGGTAAGTTGAGATTTATTTGGGATATTTGTGTAAGTTTCCCATAAATTATCCCATAGTAAAAAAATGTAGGATGATAAATATAGAATGATAGAGGAATAGCCGGTAGAAGAGGCCTCGCATACGGAAAACTAGAGTTACACAATATTTTTTTTCTTTTTGTGTGAAGAGAAGATAAGACGAGATATTTTTTGTTACTATTTAAAGTTTTTATTTGAAAGCCAATAAAGTAAAAACATTCATAAGGGTAATTTAGGTGGTAAATGTTTGCTCGCACATCTTGTTAAAACCGATTGCGGTAAATTTTTACTAATTTACCCAAACTCTTAGGTGTTAGAAATGTTATTTAAAGTTGATTCAAGTTATTAATTCTGAAATGAGGCTAGGGATGAACTAAAAAATATCTTTATTGCTTCTACCTATTTATTCCACATTCAGAACTGCAATGAAACCTGTTCATTAAATATATAGGAAAGAAAAATATCTAATTGATAGCGCTTCTATCTACCTCTGAAGAATTCTATTGCAAAGTACAATGGAAGAATTTCTTGTGTATTTCAATTAAAATTTATAGGTTAGATTATTTCGGTCTTGTATCAAAATAATACTTGTGGCTAAAATACCATACCGTTTACATTTTTGGAGCTTTTAGTCAAAAGTTATATCTAAACTATACCCACAAATCTACAACATAAAATTAGATAACTTTTTAAGTGTCACTTGTTGAACAAACGGACATTCTAAGGATGTATTTCAGTATTTTCGCCAATACTCTTAATAATAGCTCGGACTGCCGAGAGATTAACCGTATTTTATATGTTTCAGATCTATTCTCTTATTTTTGAAAGGCATTTAAACGTTCGTTTTCAAAATTATGGTGGAAAATAATTTTAAAAGAAACTCTTCTATTCAATCTGTGGCATAAAAATGGAGCTAAAAAACCTCTTGTTTATTAATAATGAATAATAATGAAAGTATTTTCTTTCAATAATTAAATATCCAATTGATAAAAATGGAAGAAAGATGACACGATATTTTATGACTGTTGCTCATTTTGAGCATAAAGCGGGTTATTCCTACCCTTATGAATCGGATAATACTATACAATAACAACAACAATAAACCTAGTAAAATCTCAGCACTAGGGTCTGGGAAGGGAAGTGTGTACGCAGACCTTACCCCTGCCTTGGGGAATTTAGAGAGGTTATTTTCGGAGTACCCTCAGCTCGAGATAATGAGTAGAAAACAATAAAAAGGCAACAACAATAGCTAGAAGAACGATAACAACAATGTAAGAACTAGAAAAAATAGATGAAGAAAGCAATCGCACTAGCAATAGCAACAAGCAGTAACCACGACAAGAAAATGGACGTAATACTAGCAATCTAGGAACAATGACAAGAAAAATGCCCGACTACCCGTATCCTTCCACTCTAATCCTCGGCCTCCAAGGTTATGTTCTCAGTAAGCTGAAGTCGCTCCATGTCTTGATCGCCTCTCCCCAATACTTCTTAGGCCGTCCTCTACCTTTACTCTTACCTGCTAAAGCCAACAATTAACACCTCTTAACTGGAGCGTCTAGGCTTCTCATTTTCGCATGGCCAAACCATCTAAGCCTCGCTTCTCGCATCTTGTCCTCCATGGAGGCCACGCCCACCTTCGCCTGAATATCTTCATTCCTATCCTTGTCCAACCTAGTGTGCCTGTACATCCATCTCAATATCTTCATTTCAGCTACGTTCATCTTCTAGACGTAAGAATTTTTGACTGACCAGGGCTCAGCCCCATAAAACATAATGCCGCTTTGTTGAGCTTACTGTAGGCAATTATTTTATTAAATTTAAATCCATAAGAATCTCAATTAAATTTTGTCAAATAAATATTATGGGCTAATATAATTATATTAATTATATAAAACCAATATATATGGATTAAATAAATAAGTCTTAATCCGTTGAGCCAGCTCATTTAGTTGGGCTACAAGTGATGAACCCACTTTATTAGGCCCAAGATGTCATCTTCCTAGAGGCCCAGTCTGGTGCCACGTGTCCAATGACGTGGCACGCCAAGTCAAACTGAAAAGCCAATAGGATTATGCCACATGTCAAAATGACAAGGCATGCCAAGTCACATTAAAAGGCCAATAAAATCGTGTCACGTGTGCAAGTGACATGTTCTGGCCAATCAAATGAGTCCTTGTCACACTTCAATTTGACTGGCCGAAAAGAGTTTGTTCTTATCATAACTCTTCCCTTCCACAACTATAAATAGGGGTCTTCATAACTCAGAAAGATACCAGAAGATATAACAAGAAGCAAGAGAGAGCTCGTGGATCAAACGCCGCAAATTTCTCTACAAGTTTCAAGCTTCAAGTAATCAAGTTCAAGTTCAAGTTCAAGAAATCACGTTCAAGCTCAAGAACGAAGAACAAATCAAGGTTCAAGGAGTGCCAGTTCAAATCAAAGCTCGTGCTAGTTGAATTCAAGATAATCGTTCGTGGAAACAATATAGATTCAAGATCAAGCTCAAAGGCCCTTGAATTTACTTACTATTGGAAAGAAGAATCAGAGGATTCATAGATATTTTACACTCATATTATTTGAAATCAAATACTATGATTGTCGTAATATTTTCTGTCCTGATTTTATTTTCTCAACGCTAATTTATTGTCCACAAATTCTGGCATACCCAGTGGGACAATCTCTACCTCTCATCTCAACTTTTCAATCACCAAAGTCCAAGAACGCCAAAATGGCTTCAAATAAAATCAACTCCAGATCAACATCCACCAAGGCTGCTATCTCCAAGTTCTATGCTGATTTGGAAAGCATCATCGACGTTACCTTTGGAAGCTTCAGACCAGTTACGAGGAGAAAAGCAAGCTATTTAGGACAACAAGCACTCCAAGTGCCGTCCGCATCAATCCCTATTTTCGGATCTTTATCCTCAAAAGGAGCAAGATCTTCCACAAACGCACCCGAAGGAGGAAGCGATGTTGCTGAAAAGATCAAGAAAACTCTTGCTCTGCTTGACCTCTCCGGATCCAAGAACTCTGCTGTGAAGGAAAATGATGATGCTTCAAGTGATGGATCCTCTCCATTTACCCCACATAACGTAAGCCAATGGAAGATCAATTTATGTGACAATCCAAGATACTCTCCATCATCCACAACAATCATGTAAGCCATAGTGACAAACACTTCATCTATGGAGGAGCAGTTGGAAAACTTGACGGAAGCAATCGCTGGCTTGACCAAGTGCATGAAAAATTAAGATGCTAGAATCGACAAGCTAACGAATAGGGTGGGAATCTTGATGGAAGAAGAATCCACCCACGCACCTGGCAAGTTCTCAGAAGTTCCAGAGAGTGATTCTCCCCCAAGAGAAGTAGCATCCGCTAAGGCTATTCTTGTATCATCTGAAGGGATGATTCCCATCGATCAACTGAAGGAATACATCAAAGGAA